AAAAAAAAAAAAAAAAAACAATAAAAATGTTCTGAACATGTAGAAAAAAGAAAGGGTTTACTGTTGTTGAAATGAATTTCTGTTACACCAAACAGAGTCTTGCCTAAGTTGTAGTAAGGATCATTATGATTTAAAACAAAATTCAGAACAGTTTGGTTCAGTTTGTTGTATCTGTGTTTTTTAGTTGTTATATCCATTGTTTCCATTGGTATTTTCTTGTGAAGTTTTGTATGAGGCTGCTTCTTTTCGATGATCATTTACTTCCAAAGTGTCGCTTCTTTGAAATTTGTTGATCAATTAACAACCATGAAATTTTTCACTTTTTTTGAGGGTTGCTACTTTTTTATTACTATAGTGATCTGCTGAGCAGGAAGTTGAGTGGGTGAATGGGTTGGGGTCTTGCTCTTGCCTACCCCGCCAGAAAGGTTTGATATCTGTAAGTGTTTTTGCATACCTACTATGTGTTTCAACAATGTTGAACTGTTTTGTAACATTTTAGGTTGGCAGACAGTAAAGCTTTAAAACAGCCAGGTTTTAGATTCAGGCAAATGTATCTCTCCAAGTTCTCCAGGTACTGTATGGGTAGATTTATTTTTTTCATGATCTCCCAATAAGTCTCTCTAATGTTTTTTTTTTTTTTTAAATGTGTTTTTGTACTGATCAGTGTGTTGTATTCTTGCTCTGATGATGATTCTTTTTGTTTACAGCAAAGCAATAAAAAAGGAGAAATTCAAAGAGGAGAAAGAAGTTCCCAAACCTAAAAAATCACCATCGCCAATTAGCATTGATACTGATGATAACGTTGACATGGCTACACCATGGCTGTCTGCTGGCAAACGCAGTGTTAGTGCAAATGGAACTAACAGCAACAAATCTCAATCAGATGACGAGCACGGTGCTACATTGATTGTGTGCCCACTGTCTGTGCTTAGTAACTGGACAGTAAGTGTTGAAAATAAACTCAATGTTAAGTCCCCTCATTTATTCCTTTTTTAAACTCTACCCTCACTCCTCAGCACTAAAAAAAAACTTGAATTCAACTGTGCTATTGGACAAGCAGCTCCGAACTTTTTCTTGCCCTGGGCAAGTCTTAGTTTACTTTTTTGTTATTTAGTTGGGAGGCAACTTGCCTGGGTCCTCACCCATCAGGCAAATGAGAATGAAAAGTTCATTGCCTGGTAGGAAAATCTACTTGACCCAGAAGAATGCATAACACTTACTGCTCCTGTGCTTTCAGTAAGACCTGGAACCTTCTAGAGGTCCAGCCAGTATTCTGTTGTGGATCACCAGCTACAATGATAATGCTACCTACCAGTTTACGAAACTTTGTCCTTTGAAGAAAGTTGTTATGAGCTTCACTTATTGCTCTCTGACAGGTGCTATGCTCCAGGAGAGCCACTTTCTTCAAATGTTATAGAAAGCACTGCCCCAGCCCCCTTTATTTGAGTCCCCCTGTACTTTGCCCTTTGAGTTAGATCCCTGCTCAGTTCTCTTGTGTTTAGCCCCACTCTATTTGCAGTAAGCCCCTTTAATATATTTCACTCCGACTATTTACATGTACAGCTGTATCCCCCTCTATTTACACCCTTCCCCAACACCATCTCCCTGGACTCTTTTAATACTTGTCTTCTAGTGACATGGTATAATAATCTAGGCCCATTTTTTTACTCCTCTTGGTAGCCCACTATGTCTAAACCCCTGTATTTATGCCCAGTATTCCTCTACCTCTTGTAGTTAGCTTCTGGGAGTAGAAACAAAAGAACCTGCCTCTTTTGTCCCCAAAGAGCTGTCCATTTCCTGTGTAGTGCTAAACAGTGTCTTGACCATGCATCTCCCTTTTTTCTAGTAATTCATGTCAAGTGGAATCACTTCTGTATCATTGACTTCTATCTTCTCTCTAACATGTACATGTAAAATCTCTGTGAAAACATTGTGTTGATCAGCTGTTGTTTTGTGCTTTTTGTAGGACCAGATATGCAGCCATGTTCACCCAGATGTCAGTCTGCAAGTTTACATGTATTATGGAGCAGAGCGATTGAGAGATGTGAAATTTCTTAGACAACAGGACATTGTACTGACAACATATCCTACACTGACTAATGACTACAGCAGGGTTTGTATTGTAGCACTTTGTACATTTATGTCCTCTGGTGTTCTGTTGTCTGTCAGGTAACGCTCTGTAGAGATCTTTGTGAGCGTGCGATAAGTTGTTTACAGACTTGTATGTCCTATACAACCTGTTCAAGCAGTTATATTTACTTGACTGTAAAATTTGGTTTGTCAATTATACATGTATTTGATCAGAAACATGATGTAAATAGGTGACTGTTATTTGATTTCAAGTTGGTTTCACAAGTCAAGATGGCCAAGTTATCGGAGATTGCTGCCTGATGATGTTAGTTTGGGATTTTCTTTCTGTTTTTCCAGTGTTGTGTTTGGAGATGCAAAGAAATTAACTGTTGAGTCTCAAAAATTTTCTTCTCAAGTTAGTACGTTATTAGTCCTCTCTTGGTCAAAATAATTCCCTAGGAACTCTGAACGTTAAATTGCTCAGTCAACTTAAGTGTCCATTGCTTAGTGGGTTTTTGATAACAATTTCAGGGATACATGTTGGAAGGAAAACGATCGTGGACAGTAATGAATTTGCCCGTGCTTATCATGACTTGAGCCTATGGTTTTATAAAGTGTTCATCAAGTTCTCCTGGTATTGTATTGCATTGTCAGTCATTAATGATTATTATTACAAACTACATTAATCACTGTACATTGCAGAATGACTCTCCACTTCACAAGATTAAATGGCTGCGCATTATCCTAGATGAGGGTCACACTATAAGAAATCCACAGACTCGTCTGACCAAAGCTATGATTGATCTAGCAGCAGAGCGTCGATGGGTCCTGACAGGGACACCAATACAAAACAGGCTGGATGACCTGTGGTCCGTGTGCAAATTTCTTCGCATAGAACCATTTGATGACAAGGGCTGGTGGAATTCTGCACTGGCCTCAAGTGTGAGAAGAGGAGATGAACAAGGCGTCAAGTAGGCTGCTTAACTTTAAGCATAGAATACTTATAGAAGCTTAGTCTAGTTTGAGTTATTTTGGCCATGTACACAATTTGAATTGAGGGAAACCTGGAAATAAAAGTTTACTAAGATATAAGACATAAAAAGAAAACGCCAAAGAGATAATAATTAACCATAAAGGAAGAAGGATGGTTAAGGATGGAAAAGATTAACACGGACTACAAACGACGTACTTGAAAAATTTAGGCTAAACTTTTCAACATGCGCGAACCCTTAACTGTAACGCACATGTAGACCCATTAAATTTCAGTCTGAATTTCAGTGAGTAGCCAGAGGAGACATGTGGCTAGTTTTAATAGCTTTTTTAATAGGCATAAACTGTGCTTGCCAAAGTTGTGAACTGTGTCCCAATTGAGATGAACCTGCAGCCAAGAGCATTGACAATAATTTATTTCTTTTGTAACGCAGCAAATCAGTGTGCTAAATAAGGAAAACAAGCTTTACTCGCTTACTGAATACCATTTTGAGTAACATAGTACATGGTCCCATCCACCGCAGAATTTTGAAAACGGCATTTTCACTCTGAAAATGTATCAAAATGTTTTCCGTCCACACTACGCCGGAGAAATATCACCGGTCATTTTGGATATATAAAACGAAAAGCCGGCGTTTCAAAATTCCTTCGGTTTGAAGAGCGTTTACGAAACGAAACTTACAAAACTTTAGAAATATTAAAAGCTGTGCTTTTAAATTTCTCACTTGCAATGATAATTTTTTCTAACAAAACGCCGTCACTCTCGCTTACGATTTGGACGTTGATTTTTTTTTGGATGCCCGTTTCAGGCCGAGATTTAATTTTTGGTATAATACCAATTATCCAGACTTTCATTCTGGTGAATTGAGTAAAATACTTTCGAGAGACTTGTCCTTCAAAGTAAAAGAATTGAAACGAATTGAAATGATCTACACCTTTGATTGCAGTCGTTTACAAAAACTTCTCAAGCACATTTCAATCAGAAGACTCAAGACAGATCAGGACGAGGGAAAACCACTTGTAAAGCTGCCGCCTCGTACAGTGGTCATTCAAGAGGTTGAGTTGTCTGACAAGGAGCGGAAATTATACGATGCCATGCAGAACCATGGCCAACTGATCATACGAAGGTAATTTCATACATGTAGTTTGGCTTTCCTTTAGAAAAGACGATGGCAGATAGGAGTCTGAAATAGAACTGGACGGCGTTTAAAGACATTCAAACGCACGTTTATTATGATTGTCTTGACGTGATTGTATGTTCACTAACTAATTATCCTAATCTAAAAAATATTCAATTTACACAAACCCCTATTAACCCTTTAAACTGGACCAGCAACAAATTTCCCCTGACAGTATCAATGCATAAAGCAAGAGAGAAGGTAGTGAGAATCAGGGACATCATCACCAAATAGAAATTTCTATGATCTTTAACAAATTCTCGTAGTTAGTACCATAAGAAAATGTATGGATATCAGTGGGGTGAGTTTGTATCATGATCCACCTCCCATTTCCTTGCGGGTGTGCGCTTTCCAGCGGTTCAGCTGTGGTCATTAAAACAAAATGCACGTGCAGCTGTACACTGTTAATGAAATAAGTACAGCAGGGCTTCGTTTGCCATCTCTGCATTTCTTATTTCAGATATCTTCAAGATGGAACAGTCCTAGCGAAGTACGCGCACTGTTTTGCCATTTTAATGCGTCTCCGCCAGTTGTGTTTACATCCCCAGCTCTGCGCTAAAGAATGCGAATCACTACAACATGCACAGAATCTTTTACAAGGTAACTAGGGTAGGCACGGGCCTAACACTGTACAGATGACACTTCACAGTGTTTGGTTAGTCTATAGATGTATCCCCTTGATAATCCTCTTTTTATGCTCTTTTTACCAACGCTACGGTTATATTTTACCGGAAAAGACCTGAAAATTTTGAAATCAGTCTTCCCATCATTTGTTCTCCTGCTGCTCGTTTTGTGGCTGAGATTGAACAGATCTAGGGCTAGGGTATTGAATATACTGTGAATAAGCAATGGTCTACCTTTGGCCAAAAACATATGCTCGGATATTTTTCCGCGGTCATCGGAGAGCGAAGCATTCGAGGAAACTAGCAAACTTCGAGGGACAAATAATGTCCAAAGACAAATGTCGGAGCATCTTTTCACGCCAATGGGGTGTTACTGCGTGTATTATTCTTCAAACATTTTTATATAAGGTCGCTCTTTTGGGGAAACCTCTTCTAAGTCGGTCAATGTTAAAATGGTTCTGGGCGCGTGAAAACATTTTGCTAGTTTGCTTGAAATGTTTAGTAAGTTACTCAATCTTGTTACGTATTTGGACCAGTCAAACGCGAGAAAAGATATTTGATGTGTGAATGTGATATTTCAGGGCTAGATGACTCAGATGACGACGATCTCGATGTGGACCACGACACTAACCGACTCATCAAAGACTTACTCATGACGTTATCTTCGGGAAGTGACGAAGAATGTTCGGTGTGCCTCGACTCCCTAGTCGAGCCAGTCATCACGCGCTGTGCACATGTCTTCTGCCAGCAGTGCATTATGGATGTTATGACGTCAGATAACCTTGCTCCTCGCTGCCCGCTCTGCCGTGCACCGCTAAATGAGAACGAACTGATTAAGGTTCCCGAGAAGAAGAAACAGAAACCAGAAGCCAAGAAAACTAACGAGGAACCTGGAGAGTCCGAGAAAAGTTCCAAGGTTTGAGTTTTTTAAAGAGAAGTACTTTTTTAGAAACCACAAGTAATGTAAGATTTCACATATTTCTGAGGCAGTATATAATTCTCACTATTTAGCAGAAGGGCTATTTTTGAGTATTGCACGCTTAGACCGTTCCTGTTCAGTGTTTACCATAAATTTTACAGAAAGTCTAGTCTTTAACAATACATAGATATATATTTTTGACATTGATAGCGTTTGCAAAAGGGGAACCTGAAGTATTTTATAGTGATTTAAAGCCAGAACGTTATCCCCGAACGCTGGTAATGAGCGTCAAATAAATATTTGATGGAGAGTATACCACAACGCCTTCAAAAGGAGTCTCCGTGCTCTGAGTTACAAGACTGACTGGAAAGCGGGAATAAACATATTGAAACACCTGTAAGAATACTCACTGGACAAAAAGAGACTAAATACTTTTTTTTTTCGTAAGGTGCATAAAGCTAATTATGTAAAACTTAAGAGCAACAATTGATGAAAAACTTTTGGGCTAATCCTTACTAACCCTAAGCACAACACGTCACCCCCTCCCCCTCCCTCACTACCTAATAGAGATCAAAATTCATCCCTGTTCCATGTACTTTTTCCAAAAGTAAACATCGAGCATTGAACGGGCCCATTTATGCCTTCGTCATGATCATTTTCGTGAAAATTTTGAGATTGAAGCAGGATAAGATCGTAATTTTTTCTTTCATTTTTTAGCATGTGCCGCTCTTTCGTATTCCTGTCGTCCTTTTTCCCGCGGGATATGGGGCTACGATCATCATACGGATGTAGGCGCGACTGCAGATAGAAAGCGAAGAATCACAGAGGAACTGTGAAATTATCTGCAAAACAAGTAACGCCAGGATTATCTGGAGTCCGGAATAATCGTCTTGGCTCAACTTCTCGCGCTAAAACTGAATAGTCAGCATGTCCGTAACGCATTCTGTAGAAAGCGTGACCGATGCGAACGAGTGTCCCTTGAGGGAAATGAAACACAACAAGTTTTACCTTGCAATTCCTGCCTACATGTATGTCCCCGCGAATAACTCGATTTTAACGGTTCGCCCTGTGTAACTGACGATCCGATGAAGTTAAGAGATTAGAGGAAGTATTATCTGATTTCAGTTTAGAGGAATCTTCATTCTATGAAAAATTAACTTTACCGGAAGCGGAGTGTCGATGTCACGCAATTTTCGAAGACAAAGTCCCTTGTTCATTATTGTTCGCGTTGCCGTCGATGGTGCTCTTCTTCGATAGCTTTCGAGTCTGATTATTTCCCAAGCAATCTAAGACTACAGAGGTTGCAGTGGCATGGCTTCGCTCCTGATATTTTTATTAACTTGCATCTTGTGTCGGGGAATAACAGCAAATTTTAAAGGACCTGACAGATCATACATTCCTAAATCGGATCTTAAAGGACAAACGGCCCGGTCAGACATGGACAAGGATAAAGCGAATCTCAGGTTAGTGACATAACGCTATTTTTTACGTTTTAACAGTACCTGGTAAAAGATGAATGAGCTTAAACACACCAAAAGCTTTCCCCTGCATTTGATGACATTTTGGCGGGATGAATTTTTGTAGCTTGTTTCTGTGAGTAAGAAATTTTACGTGTTAAGGTTTGCCAGCAGAGCACGTTGTTTTTATTTGATACAATATCATTTACTTTCGATCAATATACTTAATTTATGTCTTCTCGTTTTGACACAAAGCTACAAAGATTTTAAGGTGTTACTATTAACCGGAAATTCTTTGCCGTCATTGTGACATTCTCTGTTGCCTTCGAAAGACAAGCGTTGCGTGACATTCATNAGTCAGCATGTCCGTAACGCATTCTGTAGAAAGCGTGACCGATGCGAACGAGTGTCCCTTGAGGGAAATGCAACACAACAAGTTTTACCTTGCAATTCCTGCCTACATGTATGTCTCCGCGAATAACTCGATTTCAACGGTTCGCCTTGTGTAACTGACGATCCGATGAAGTTAAGAGATTAGAGGAAGTATTATCTGATTTCAGTTTAGAGGCCACTGGATTCTATGAAAAATTAACTTCAAGCGGAAGTCGGGTGTCGATGTCACGCAATATTTTCGAAGACAAAGTGCCTTGTTCATTATTGTTCGCGTTGCTGTCGACGGTGCTCGTCTTCGATAGCTTTCGAGTTTGATTATTTCCCAAGCAATCTAAGGCTACAGACGTTGCTGTGGCATGGCTTCGCTCCTGATATTTTTATTAACTTGCATCTTGTGTCGGGGAATAACAGTAAAAGTTAAAGGACGTGACAGATCAGACATTCCTAAATCGAATCTTAAAGGACAAACTGCCCCAGACATGGACAAGGATAAAGCGAATCTCAGGTTAGTGACATGACGCTATTTTTTACGTTTTAACAGTACCTGGTAAAAGATGAGTGAGCTTAAACACACCAAAAGCTTTCCCCTGCATTTGATGACATTTTGGCGGGATGAATTTTTGTAGCTTGTTTCTGTGAGTAAAAAAATTTACGCGTTAAGGTTTGCCAGCAGAGCACGTTGTTTTTATTTGATACAATATCATTTACTTTCAATCAATGGACTTAATTTATATCTTCTCGTTTTGACACAAAGCTACAAAGATTTTAAGGTGTTACTATTAACCGGAAATTCTTTGCCGTCATTGTGACATCCTCTGTTGCTTTCGAAAGGCAAGCGTTGCGTGACATTCATAAGCTTTTCTCTTTTTCCGGTCGTCACGCAATATTTCTTCCAACTGAAAGCTGCTAAAGCGAAATAATTATAACAACTCTTAATGGCGAGAAGAAACAAAAATAACGATCACCACTAGAGTGAGAGAGAATGCGAAAAAGCTTAAGGACATGGAGTACTCAACATAGTTTTAAGTCTTTTACAAGGGGATGCTCATACCTTGGGTGGAGTGTCCCATGTGAAAAGGTGGGGGAAGCTCGTCGTCTCGTGTCTGGTCTTCTCGCGTATAAATCAAGGATTCTGGTCCCACTTAGGGTGTTGATGACGAAACGCCACTATCTTTTGCTGTCAAAGTATCTTTTAGGGTGGATTTGAAAAAATAATAAAAGAAACTCTCTTATTTCCGTTTTTAGGCTTGATTTCCGCCGGTTTTTCGAGTCCGGTGTACAAGCGCGGGCTCCTTTCTTGAACATTTGTATCTTTTAGGGGTCAAGTAAAGTTTTAGCCACACCCAGATTGGTCTCCTTTAGAGGTTTAATTCAATTTTTCCGACGGGCACCCCCGACCTTTCCATATGCGAGTCACCCCTCGGGGCTCATACCCATATCAGTATATGCGTTTTTTTGTTTGGCCCTATCATTTCCTTCATAGAACGAAGGCGGTTGGTTTATGACAATTCAGCAATCCATATTCTAGCCTGCGAGCGAGGAGCAAAGCGATTCGGCGGGAGGGAGTCTGGTGTAGAGTCTTGTCTCGCGGCTTTACCGCTTTATTTCGCGCGTGCTTGTGCTCCAACGTGAGCCCGCTCGCAGGCTATCCATATTCTGTAGCACGGATTTTGTCTAAACTACTCCTTGGGTACCCGAGCTAAGCATTTTTTCTTTGTTATAGGTTGGTTATTCCATTAATTGATAAAAATGGAGATGGTCAAATATCAGTCGAAGAACTTGCTGCCTGGACAGGCAGGAGTATGAAGAATTTTTACAAACAAGAGGCCGAGAATCGGCTAAAGACACTGGACACGAATAAAGACGGCAAGGTCTCTTGGGAAGAATATATCAAGGGCGCTGAAAACAGAGGAGGTCAGTAATAGCGCCCTTTATGTTTGTGTGGGGTCAGGAGGAGGGAGGCGTACGGGGGGTGGGTAGGGTGCGTAAAGACTGACTGTACTGTGATCTAGGAACTTTTAAAAATTCTAGGCCTTTATGTACTATGGCAAATACTCCTTTTAGAAACAAGCTTAATGTTTTTTTTATTGCGGATTCAACTGAGCAAGGAATCATTCTTGAAACATAAATCACGAATACATAAATTGCGAGGATTAAAAATAATGGAACTTTGAAGTTTCTAGCTTGAAGGGTCAATTGTCTCACGGTCTTATTTCGCAGGTTTTACAGAGAAACAAAAACAGCGCCACAAAAGAAGATTTGATCATGCTAACGCGAAGGAAGACGGTTTATTATCACGTGATGGTTTGATTTCTATGTTCCATCCTGAGGAAAATCCAAGCATGTTTGGAGCCATAGTTGAAGTAAGATTTCGTTGTGTTCTTTGTTCTTTGTAAACCCAGAGATATGTATCTTATTAACCAACCGTGAAGGCCATACTTTAGTATATCGAAACGAGGTTCGTACAAAAAAGACCAAGCGCTGATATTCTCACCGTACGTTCCTGGGCTAGCTTGGTTCAAGAAACTTAAAAACTAAGAATGGTCACGCGGAATCATTCGGGTCAATGCCCGTCCCGATACTCGGGAAAATGGTTGATTTAAGTATTTGCCCCTCTGAACTAAGTTAATCGTGATAAATATTACAGTAGTACGGTCTCGTAACTGTAACATGTTCTAGGGTGTTTAAAAACTGTGAACTTCCTCACGTCAAATATGCAGATACAACGTTGGTCAAGGTTTATTATCATGAATTTGTGTTGTCCATAATGTTCAGAATGTAGCTATTTCAAGTGGGTTTTTGCAGAGGTTTGTGAGCTCAAATTATTTTTACGGAGTACAGTTGTGAAATTTACCTAGATGTACATGCAAATGCAGCTCGCCATTTCGTTTTGAGACGTTTTTGTTGCTTCCTTCATCGCTCGTATCTAAGCTTTCCTCGACCACGAGTCAAGAAATAACTGTTGACTGTGTGCGAGTCTGAAGTCGAGTTTGTCCTCTCTGACAACGTATATCATTCAAGAGAGAATGAAAACTAAGAGAGTTGAGGCCTTATTCCCAAGGTAATCCTAAGTTATTTTTAGACATGATACCCAGTTCTTCTGCGGATAATGTTACCACGCGCGTTGTGTGTGGTTATTTTCGTTGTGGATGAAATTACGCGTGGGCTAGCAGTTCACGTGAGTAAACTTAGCGTCACAGGATTGGCCATTTCCGAGACTGAGAAAGATCTATAAATACCTTAAGAGAGATTTCCTTGGGAATAAAGCCTATATAGGGGATTGACTCTCCTACACCCTTCATCCTCTCCTGACGCACTGTGTAATCTCTTTAGGAATTCATGGAATTCGTGGATACCGACAAAGATGGGTTTCTATCATTCGATGAGTACAAAGGTAAACATATCTCGCGGATTTTAATGACCATTTTCCTAGGGGAGGTGAGCATCGGATATAAGTAAGGACCTCCCAAGGGGGGATAGCATATTTCCTTCATCCACTTAAAATTTCACTTTTTCTCCCTTGTTCCCTATAATAAATTCTATTGTTACCTAAAATGTTTTGTCACTAAGTTTCCTTCAAATGTAGAGATATCCCTTGTTCGCTCAAATTAATCCCAAAAATATCACTTGTTCCCTTGAAATAAATGATCAAGTTCCCTTGCTCCCAAAAACCCTGAGAGGCCCTCAAAAGCTTAATTAATAAAGTTTTAGATGATGCTGACCCGCGTAAATTGCTAACTATTTTTTCCTGCAGGTAAAACGGTAGATACTGGCAGCACGGACCAACGGACCGCTGAAGAATCTTTCAAAAGGCTTGATCAAGATAGTGATGGAAAACTGAACAAAGTGAGTATTAAGGAGTGCATTTATTCTTGTCTTAAATTCCCTGTGAAATGAAATAAAAATATTTTCTTGAAGGAAACTCAACATTGTAAAGATTAGAAAGAGTAGCTTTTTCCAGGTTCAGTAGCTTCTTAAAATGTTTCCAAGGTGGCGAGCTAAAATAGAAAACTTCGCTGGAAAAAAAAGAGAGTGCCGCCATTGTAATGAAAGACTGAAGCACTGCAGCCAACTAAACAACCGCTTACAGGGTACATCTACCTTTCATACCAGTTCGTAGTGTCTTATTCTTTTTACATGTCGCTGATAATGCGTTTTATTAAAGGAAGAGATGAAACTTTGGTTGGCTGCCGTTAATACTTCCTCTCAAGCAAAGAACCAAGCAAAACGGCAAGTTAGCATGGCCGATGATAATAAGGTGAGGCTACTGTGATAAAAGTCAAATGAAAATTGGAAAGCTGCTTGCAACTGAAGGTTGTTGGACTGAAAGTTTACCATGTTAATCCACACAGGATGGTGTTTTAGGTGAAATGGAAATTCTCAACCACATAGGAGTTTTCACT